TCTCTGTCCAGGAGCCTTTTGTGGATTGCCGTTTCTTCTTCTAACCGATCTCTGAGTGCTGGTCCACGCTTGTCGCCATCTAGCTCAGTGACGTCACAACTCACAGCAGTCATCGATCGCATCTTCGTAGGCGAACCAACTGCTTCGACCATCATAAAACGGCGGTACTTTGGTGGTCACCTGCTGAAATGCTGAAAGTCTCTGCAATTCTTGGAGATGCCGGTGGTTTGTCACATAAGATTCATTCCCGTGTGGGAGGTAATCGTCATCCCCATCACCATGCTCGAAGCTCCTTGCTGCAGAAAGGCTGGCCATTGCGCTGTCCTTGGATCGAGCCCCGGGAGCTTGTGCTTCCGGTTCTCTTCACCTGAGCGAAGTATACCGGAGAAACAATGCGGTCAGCTTCACCTAAGTGAAGCACACCGGGTATTCCCGGAAGCTCCGCTACCAAGTTGAAATGTAACCTGGGCGTGTATCCCCTCGCAAGGCGTACAGGAACACAGGCAATGCAGGTGTCTCGTTTGCTACAGGAGCACAGCTGTAATCTTGGTCTGCTATGCTAGAACCTTGAGTACAGACATGGATACATGCAAGTGATACGTGAGACTGACAGAGCCCGGATGTGTAACGTCTGCGTTTCACCCCCCTCCCCCCCCTCCGCCTCCTCTCCCCTCTTCCCCTCTTCCCCTCCCCTCCCTCCCTCGCAGGCATGGGACACGGTCAAATCTGCCGCGCTTCAAGCCCACCCGAACCTCTTGATCGGGATATGGGGAGTGACGAACAAATGTAGTTTATTGCATCGGCTGACGCCATATGGTACATCTACATCTCTCTGTCTGTCTCTCGCTCTCTTTCTCGTGCTTTCGAGATTCGAGCTGAAGAAGTCATTGCATATTATAAACGAACAGATATGTAGCCGTTTCCATCTTTACCATTAATTCGCTCGCTCTTCGGGCACTTTAACCGCCTGCGCAACAGAGTGTAATCATCCCTTGATTGGCCGTATGCGGCCACGATGGCACGGGTGAGGTATGACAATATAACAATATACATTGGTCGGAAGTACTACGCAAACTCAAGCGCGTCGGTGAAATGGCGCCGTCACCGTCTGCAAGCGATGTATTGCAGGTGTTGCATGTGCTGTATGTAGTCTGCGTGTTGCGTAGCCGCACGGGGATGTATGTTCTAAGAAGACTGGGGATACATGGGCCGCATGCAATGGATTGGTGTAGTTAGTTCGCTGCGTCAAATAACATACCGACTGCGTGTTGCGTAGCAGTACGGGGATGTGTGTTCTAAGAAGACTGGGGATACATGGGCCGCATGCAATGGATTGGTGTAGTTAGTTCACTGCGTCAAATAACATACCGACAAGCATCATACACAAACTAACAAACATACATACATAATCAAACATACATACGTACGTACGTACATACGTACGTGCGTACACACTTACATACATACATACATACATACATACATACATGCATACGTATGCATGCATGCATGCATGCATCAATACATACATTAATTGGATTACGTTACATTACATTGTATTACACTACAGTACATTCATTACATTTCATGACATTACATTACATTACATCACATACATACCTGCACGCATGCATGCATGCAGACACGCAGACATAAACACGTGCATCGGCAATTGCACATTCAGGCATTGAGATGTGCCTGCAGGCGTGCAGGCACGCCTACGAATGTCTGGATGAAGAGCGCGCTTGCACAAGTTCTCTTACATGCCTCATCTCTTCGTCCCCCACATTCCCCTCGAACCAACAGATTCGCCCAGTCTAGTGAAAGCGCGGCCTTTGCCTGCTCCGCGATAGCCAGCAACTCTGCAAGTTCAGCCTTGACCTGTGGGCCGGAGCTTTGTGTTGTGGTAAAGCTTGCGGGATGATGCACTTCAGCACAATCCGTCAGACTCAGTTCATGCAGTGTATCCACATCTTAACCGTTTACAGTTCCATACAAGTACCATGCTGTCACACAGTTGCAAGCGAGTTATGGATACTGCGCAGATACCGAGCAGGGGAGACATGTCGCCTCTGACAGCATGCCAGCAACGCAAACGATCGGGATAAAGCACTTCAAAGCTGACCAAATCACGGTGAGCCGCATTCTGCCAAAATTGTTGCGGGACGCATGCATCCTGCATTTAGAGCAAGTCCAAGCCAGCCTACGACTGACCACTGCAGAAGTTGTAACAAACGGACCCATGCTTCCAACACTCAACCCACTAATCAGCAAAAGTGGTCGGCCGAGCACGACCGAACCGAAATCAACCGAATTCCATGAGCCGCCTGTCCCTGCAGCTGCTCTAGGCGATCGTGACCTCGTGAAGCGAGCGGTCGAAACTTTTTGGCATTCCCCACAGTCTGCATCAACAAGTCGAGTGCACCGTGAAGCCAGGTCACTGGGTACTTCTGGTATCTCTCCCAAGCATTCCTCAGAAGCCAAAGAAGATCTCATGCTCCAGGCGTTGCACCTGCTTCAAGCCTGGTGCCACCATCAATCCCCGAAGGCTCAAACTCCAAACTCTGCAGCCCCTTCTGGTTGCAGTCCTAGGGTTGCTTCGGAATTTGGGGGGGGGGGTAAGCTTTTGGGTCCCAGGCCTCGTTTGTCTTCTGCGCGAAAATCTCGAGTGCTTTGGCATAAGCGGCCACGGCCTGTCTCAGTTCACCTCACCAAACCAGCTGTGAACTTTGCTTGGTAGCTTGAGGGTTGTTGGGCTCAGGTGTTCAAACGTCTGCTTGTGAGTTCCAGTAGTTGTAGGGCTCTAGGACTCTAGGCGTTCCTTGACTCAGCTTTCGATGTTCCATGTCGGGCCAGTCATTCGGAAGTGACGCCTTTGGAGCTCAGTTTGTTGGCCAGCGCAGCAGAGGCCTCACTGCGCCTTTGTGGTCTTTGTTACTTAGTTTAGCTTCTCACCTCCTGGGCCCTTGTTAGCACAATGCAACTCAACTTCACAATGACAATGTCAGCACAGGCCGACGCAGAAACAAGCCCCGCACGTCCCCCCCCCCCNNCAAATTTTCCTCGCTGCAGTACGACATGCTTCGACAACGGCTTCCACCCGCCTTCAGCCCGCAAGCACCGCGCAAGTGCAAGGTTTGCCAGAGCCAGGGAAGCGTGGCGTTCGCCAAATACTCGTTGAGTAATTTCCAAGGCCCCTCGGTGGAAACGGGCGAGAGATCTATAGTTCCAAAGACCAAACAATTGTGGTGCGTGCGGAGCGTTTGTTAAAGAAGCGAGGCTGCAGAGAGCGAGTAGATGAACGAATGAATCCAAGCTGCGGGCACTGAAGCTACGTGCCTCCTTTGCTTTGGCCTGCGCCAAAAGGCCTGGGCATGTAGGCAAAGCGGCAACCATGTTTTCCACACCCCTCCGTAAAAGAAGACGACAGCTCTAGAAAAAAAACTTTCCGAGTGTGCAGTCCTAGATCAGTTTAAGTGCTTGAGCTGGGCTTTCAAGCATTTGCACTGGGCACTTCTGCGGCACAGGGCTTGGATTCTTTGATGCGTGAAGCTGAAGCCCCACATCGTGAAAGCAGACAGGAGGCACTGCGATGCGTTCTGGAGAATTTGAGCGGCCTGCCACTGTGCTCTGCAGACCGGAGTGCTTGAGTTGATGGCACCGTGCTGTTGGGAGCAACTCAACTTGGAACTTCTAGGAAATCCAAATTCGAGCTTCGGGCCTTCCTCGTGGGACAGTTGCGGGCACACCCGTCAACAAGGCATGTAAGAACGTTATCAGCAGGATTCCAGTCCAAGATTGAACGGCGGAACTCCGTCGGCACTCAATCTATTTGGCATGGCCTGGTAGGTGGCCACTTTGTCATCACCATTTGTCGACAGACGGTAGGCTTCGTTGAAGGCAGAAGCAGCTTCGTCCAGCCTTCCCGAGACCGCATGCAACGCTTCCCGACACAGTCCTCGAGGCTGGAGCAAACAAAGCTATTGAACCGCGGAATGTACAGACTGGCCCTGGTTCCTTCAAAGCTTCATCCCCGCCTCTGCGCACTCTTCAGAGCAATGCCCAAGTTGTTCTGTGCATTTGACAGTGCTCCTCGCTCCTGGCCGGCTGAAAACAGGCTGGATCGGGCTTGTTCGAAGCGGTGTCCGGGTCTACATGATGCTAGCAGTCCTCAGCGACGTCCATAGAGAACTCCTCCGTTTCCATGCTGACGACCGCCTGTAACTGCACACCACCCTCAAAACACGAATGGAACCGGTTCAAAGCCTCAAGACCAAAAATCCCTTGCCCAAGCTGTTCCAAGCTTCCTGCCAAGTGGACACGGCGTCTGCCCACCTGCGCAAACGGAGCTCCACCTGCCCGGAAGGGAGCACTTACAGCCTCGATGTTCAGGCGTGCTCTAAGGATTGCGGCGTCTGGGCAAGATCATGTCATGAGATTCACGCCTGTTCGGATTTACAAATCCTTCGCATCTACGGAATCTACGGTATGCCTCCAATCGGATCATGGATTTGCAAATGCTCACATCTCGAGTTACTTCAATCTAAACGTCGAACTTGCAGCACTGGCATACTAAGCACAGTAAGTGCCAATGGTTCCCTTGCTCGCGAGCTTCGCCAAAGCCACCACAAGCACAGCGAAAAAGTCCCCAACTCCGAAAATGAGAAGCTTGCAGGCAGGCAGTCGGATCATTACTGTTTCAATCAACCCGGGCTTGAGATACCGAACGCCTGACTGCTAAACACATTGGTACAGAATACTCCAGAGACTGAAATGACTGCTACTGCTACTGTGAGTCTACGAATGTTTCGACACCGTATCTATCGCATTGCATGTGAATCTTTCTTGTGCACCTATATATATATATATGTATGTGCCCGATACCTTTAGGGTCTATGCAACCGCGGTTTGTTATCTTCAGCACATAATGGAAAGCAAAATAGAATATCGAAGCACAGCCCACATTACAAAGCCATAACCCGAAAAGTTTCAGACCGACTGTGTTATATTTTTTTAATAAATAAAGGTTATCATTCATATTCAAGGAGAGGTCCATGATTGTGATAAACACGAATATACTTGCAAGAACCTCCAATAAGCGAAGTCGGTCTATCATCGTGATAGATACAGATATACATTGATAACCCCCCAATAACCAACGTCAGTCTCCATGACAAATGACGTCGCTTATTGGGGGGTTCTCTAGGTCTCTAGGGTTTAGGCCGCTATTATTC